ATGTCTGGGAAAGTTGAACTACAAGGACATTAAGACCCTGGATGCCCATGGGTTTCCACCACCCCTATCTCAATTGCCAGAAGCTTTTGGAGGTGAACCACGACCCTACTTGGCAAGGGTCGATGTGGAAAAGGAGCCAGCTCCTCCTCTTCAAGGGGAACAACTACATGGCGGCCTGTCTGCAGCATTACAGGAGGAGGAGGAGTGGGATATCTATTTGGATTTGGAGGATGGAGAGGTCAGGTTTGGAGGTGAGTTTGGCCTGACAACAGAAGCTGAGCCAGTGGCGCTGCGAAAGACGGAAGTGACCTACACTCCCAACGTTGAGAAGATCCTAGAAGAGCTGGAGGCCCCCCTTGAGGTGACCTATACAGTGGATCCTCGAGAAGTTTTGGGTCACCTTTCGCTGTGGGAAGCTGCGATTCGGAAAGAAGTGTCCGGAATTGAGGTGGCGATACAACGTCTCCTCCCAGATACCCCGGAGCGTGGTGCATGGTTGGCAACTCCTGGTATACAGCGTCTTCCAACAAAGTTCGTGTTCACAGTGAAACCCAATGACAAGGCGGTATTGTCTGATAGGAATACGTGGTGGAAAAGAAAAGCAAGATTGGTGGTATGTGGGAATTACGCTCAAGAAGATGGAAGCAACCTTTACGCCGAATCGGCCCCGGCCGAGGCCGTTCGAGCAGGCCTCACCCTTTCGTGCCGGAAGGGATGGCAGGTGAGCATTTTAGATGTGGTCGCCGCCTTTTTGAGGACACCTATAGGACGAAAGGCCACCGACCCCAAAATTGTGGTGGCTCCACCGAAACTCCTGGAGAGATTGCAAGTGACAACTCCTCTGGAACTTTGGGGCCTTGTTCGGGCCTTGTACGGACTCAGACAGAGTCCTGCTTTGTGGAGCGACTACCGGGACGACATGATTGCCCAGATGCAGCTACCGGATGGCTTGAAGTTTGTTCAAGGACGAACTGTACGATGTTGGTGGTCTATACTGGATTCAGCTGGAAGTATAGTGGGGGTGATGATTGTATACGTTGATGACTTTATGATATGCGGAAGTGGTCCTGTGGTGGCTGCGGTATCTGGAGTTATTAGGAGTCTCTGGGAGACCTCGGAGCTATCGACGTTGTCGCCTACCACACCGGCTCGGTTTTTAGGTATGGAACTATCAATGGTCTCTGGAGAACCGGGCGTCATCTACGTGAGCCAGCATGGGTATATACAAGAACTTCTAAGACATCATGATCTTCCCAGTACCCGGCTGGATAAAGTACCGCTTTCAAAGGAGCTTGCTTCCTTCAGCGTGGAGGACACGGACATTCCGCCCGATGACTATATGGTGCATCGAGCTCAGCAGATAACTGGGGAGGTTTTATGGGTCTCTCAACGAAGTCGTCCTGACCTCAGCTACACATCAGCGCTGATGTCCACATTAACAACAAGGGCGCCGTACCGTGTGGTGGATGTGGGGCTGAAACCCCTGTCTTATTTGAGAAGAACATCAAGGTACCGGCTCAGGATTTCATGGACGGAAGCTCCTTTAACCATGTTTTGTGATGCAGCATATGCGCCACAATCCGAGAGATCGCATGCTGGATGGCTGGTGACCTACGGCCAGGTACCGCTGGTGTGGCGGAGCAGCAGGCAACAGATGATCACTTTGTCGACAGCGGAGGCCGAACTGTTGGCATTAACAGATGGGGCCATCGCCCTGAAGGGAGTGGAGTGCCTACTAGCGGACTTGGGTGAGCAGGTCACGGCGCGAGAGCTGGCAACAGACAGCTCTGCTGCTCTGGGAATCTCCCAGGGGGCATCGTCGTGGAGGACAAGGCATCTCCGCATTCGTGCGGGATGGCTGGTGGAGCAGGTGCAGTTTGGCCTAATGACCACGCGCCACTGCCCGGGGCTTCATCAGCCAGCAGACTTGCTGACAAAGCCTCTTAGTTCCCAGCGTCTTCGAGCTCTACTACAACTATGGAAGATTGGGGAGCAAGAGCAGCCAGTTGCACAACCGGCGGTGTCAAGATTGTCAATTGCGTCTTCAAGGATCACGGTTGCCTTGGTTTGCTGTTTGTTGATGATGACAGTGGAGGCTTCTTCGACAGAAACCGAGGGCAGTGTGAAGGTGGATGCAGATATGTTGACTGTCTTTATGGCCTTGGTGATGTTACTTGGGTTGGTTATGATATGGGAAGGTTGCAAATGGCTATTTTGGGAAGTGATGTTGGAGTGGGCACCTGGATCGAGATCTCGAAAATTGAGACGTCTTGAAAAGCTGCGCGAAGCGACAGCCAAGGCGATTCACGAGGAGCTCACCAGGATGGATTCTACGACATTGACTACCACGAGTATGCCTACAGCGACTTCCCGGACACCCGCGGAAGGGCAAGAGAGAACGTCGAGGAGCAGGACAATGGAGCAAGCCTCCCAAGATCTACCTGATGGTGATGTACAGCAGTCATCGTCCAACGCAGCAGCTATGCCTACAGAAGTGGAGCAGCTTTTGAGGAAAGGGCTACTGCGATGTCCGCTTCCCCTCGCCTACCAACAGATGCAGACCAACCTCTGAGGAGAAGGGCTCCTGCGACGTCCACTTCCCCTCGCCTACCTACAGAAGCGGAGAACCTTTTGAGGAGGAGGGCTCCTGCGATGTCCTCTCCCCCTCAACTACATGATGGCGCAGAAGAGTCGTCGGATATGTGGATTCTCATGTCGGAGGAGGCTAATGAGGAAGAGGGTGGAGATGAGTATTTACGGGTGTGCACAGACACCGCATCTTTGATGCGGTGTGAGGAACTTCGAGAAGCCCTTCGACTACGTGGTCTTCCTACAACTGGACTGAAGTCTGATCTGGCAGCTCGGCTGGGTCATGACATGTGGTCCAAGAGGACTTCTAAGGATGCCCCAACAGCCAAGCAGTACAAGTACTTATTGTGGCTATGGCGGAGCAAGGATCTATGCGGAAAGGTCCTCCTTATGAATTCCAATCTGGATACGAGAGTGGCAGCATCAAGGACTATTCATGCCTGGAAAAGTCGGTAGCATCTATGTATTTGAGTGGCGATTAAACCTCCCGGCTTCATCGAGGAGGAGTGCAGAAGCTACCGTCCAGGATGCTGTATAGAGTGTTTGCAATCTGCCGCTGCTGTCCAGGGGATGGCTACGAAAGACCCCTTGAGTAAATCCCGAACTGCGATGCAGGATAGAGCAATGTAAAGATGTTGAAGCTCTAGCATCCATTTGTATAGTGTTATCCAAGAAGCCCAGCGATAGATGCAGTCTGTACAACCAAAGCATCAGGTCGCAGAGCTGACAACCCGCGTTAAATGTGCGCTGTGTTAAAAAGACCTAAATTCGAAGCCTCTGCCATGAGATGCGTTTGAAGTTACTCTGGCTTGGCGTTTGCTATCTTCTGCAAAAGATAGCACAGATGAGCGATGACGCTCAGCAAAACCCTAAATTCGAAACCTTAAATCCCTAACCCTTCAACCCTGAACCCCAAATCCTACATCAAAAACCTTAAACTCCGAACCCCAAACCCTAAACTCTTAACTCTGGATAGCAGGAAGTGGCCTTAGGCTCTATCCTCCGTCCCCAACCCCGAAACCGACGAATTCACACCTCGATCTCATGGGCTTTTTGAGTTATCGGGCTTGTAGGGTCTAGGATTTATAAGGGTTTATAGGGTTTGGGATCTAGGGCTTATGGGGTCTAGGGATTGGGCTTTTGAGGGGTTTAAGGCTTCGAAACCTCCACTCCTTTCGGGCTTTTGGAGACTCTGAGTCTCGGCTCCTTCTTCTCACACTTCTCGCCGTGGCCTCGTTCACAGACGCACCGAACCTCGAACCTCGTGGCCGGTACAAGCTTCCGGCTGATGTTCTTCGGTGTCGGTGTGTGTGTGTGTGTGGGGGTTCAAGTATACCAGTTGAACTAACTGGTGTCATGTATGACTGCAGTACATTACAATCTCTATTGTATTGTGAAGTGACACTACGAACATCCAAAGACTTATCCCGATGATTGCAGTGCAAGCTGCATGCCGGGTGCAGGCAGCTGAGAAGCAATGAGAGCTGAGTAACCAGCCAACCGCAGAGAGTAAGTTCTAGAAGATTCTTATTTTGGAAACACCCAAACGTTGTCCGACTATTAAGACTTCCCTGACAACACAACAGCTGAAACCCGGCCTGACATGGTTCGTGTAGCAGCGCTTGCAGCAGAAGCCACCACTTTCTTCGAATGTTACCAGGAAATTGCAGCGCTCGTTTGCACAAAGCCGGCCGATCTGGCTGATCTCCGACATTCACAAGGACCCTACAAGAAAGTAAGTTATGGGTTATGGTAGCTTAAGGTGCATCTGAGGGCTAACCACAGGAATATGGCTGATGTAGCTGTAGCTTCGGGCTGAAATTGCTTTTGGGGTCGCAGACCAACGCCGACCTCCGAATCATGCAAATCTTATCTGGGTTCTACTACATACTACACGATTGAAACCCTGGACCCAAACCTTGCCAAAAAACATCAGTGCGCCTTTGCAGTTCGAAGCCTTTGGGTCTGGGAGTTCAATTTTCTCAGCTTCATCTGCTTCGGGCATCCCTCGTAGCAAGCTTTGTTATGCTCTGTTGGCCCGAGCTGCATGCATTGCAACATCAACCTCAAATGTTGAGCCAAATGGGCATAACATGCAGCAAACATCGCCAGCGGGGCATACACTGCATACAACCCAAGCCCCTAGACTGCGAAACGAAAGGTACCTCTAGAAACATTCGCGAACTTCAAAAAAGAGCGCTACGAACCCTAAAGCCTCTTCTGGCGTGCTGGGTCTGGGACGTACGCGGACAAGTTCCAAGGGGGAAAGCGACGGACCCTGATCTCCGAACAATGGCACACTCGAAAACGCTCGAAAACCCGGCCTGAACTCCCACACTCTGAAGCCATAAACCCTTGTCTAATTTATTTTTTGGGCGCTCTATTTTCAAAACCGTCGAGCGGTGCAGTCCTTATTCTGCCCGGACGCAATTGCTCGAAGCCGTCGGCCCTGGACCCTGCCCCCATTTCTCAGCCGGAAACGGCCACGGACCCATCACGCTGCGAGCGCAAAGGGGCGTCGCGTCGTCGCCAAAGCTGAGTGACAGGGAGAGAAGTTCAAGGCCGAGGTCTCGCAGGGGTGGGTTTGAAAGACCGTATAAGGGTTCCTTATATAGGGGTGGTTTGATATCACCAAGGATCCTACAACTGGGGGTTGACAGGCTATAGGAGCTAGCAATGCGCTGGTTGCGGTTGGTAGTCTGAACCTACTATGCAAGGACTGATTGTTGGATTCGGGTCTTTGCAGTTGCTGGGGGCTTACGTACCTTGTTTCAATGAATTCATCCATATTAGTCCATCTTCGTCCTGTACGACCCGATATCATATAAACAATGAAGGACAATAAGCGCGCACCATCTTCCTACATTGGCCAAGACCTGAATCTGCAAAAACCAGCGAAGCACGAATCCCGACAACTGCTGCTACACCAACCCACTGGTGCCAATTTTTTACGCAGGCTCTAGGCATACCTTTCATTTGAAACACGACCAATCCTGAACCCAAAAGCTCCTCATAACAACAAGTTGGGGCGAGGCACTCCTTCAGCAGCTTCTGCTGCACCTTCCGAGCCGTTTTCAGGAGAGGCTCAACCTCCCCAGAGGCGCTACCTCCGGCGCTTGACGGTTGGGCTTTCCGCGCTCACAAGTGGGAAATAGCCTAGCGGAGTCTGGCTTAGGGGATTAAGGGCTTCGGGGTTTGAGAGTTTGAATGCGTGTAGTAGCCTATAGGGTGTAAGGATGGTGGTTTAGGACTGCTTGCTGGAGACTTAGGGACAAACCTTGGACTGTTATCCCCGATTGCTACGTGTCGAAAGCTTGGGGTCTAAGTCGACTACTGAGCTGCTCCTGAATTCTAATGGAAATTCTTTTTGTGTCCCCCTCTCAGTAGACTGAAAGGAACCAAATAGCGCCTATTTTCCAGAGCGGCCTAGACTTGGGTTTTGCGCCCGAAGACAACAGAACGGTGCCTGCCGTTGCAGCTGCTAGCCGCGTGACGGCCCACCTGAGGGCCTCGGATCGTCAAGACTTCACACGCCTAAGGCTGTAGGGCTTTAAACAAAACAGGTGGAAACCCGTAACCAGACAGGGTGGCCACATAGCCCGCCCGGCGAAACAGGCATAAGTCTAGCATGGGCCCATCTTTGGGGTTCTCTCTGAGTTTCCGGGCTGCTTGAGCACCAGCTCTGGCAGCTAGCAGCAGGCAGTTCAAGCGAGGTTAGAGGGATGATGAGGTTCATGGCTTTCGGTATACTTCTGATACTTACCTCTGTATATACACTTACTTGTGTATAAACACTCAAACTAGGGTTGCGCCAGGGGTCCGAATATGTTAGGGCATATTCCGGCCCCTAAAGCAGTGCAGACCTACCGTGGCTTCCCGAAGACATCAGGAACTCCAAGCAGTCGGCCAGGAAAGCCCTAGACAAAAAAAAAGTAGATGTCCCTAGGTGCAGCTACGGGATGGAAAATGTCAGACTCTATAGACTCTATAAGACTGATCGGCTTTAGCTTAGGGTTTGTAGACCCTAAACTCGAGCCTCTCTCCCGCAACATGTCATTATGCACCCTCGAAGCCGATAAACCCCCCAGGTAACCAGAGAGCCCAATACCCCTTAATTAAGGAAGATACGTTAAATCAGAATATTAAGGCCCCTATAATCTAAGGTATATATTCCGCATTTAAGAGGTATTGGGCTCTCTGAGTAACCATCAAGCTTCAAAGCCTGCTGAGCGCCTCGTCGGCACGCTTTGCAATGGAGTCGCCCGGGTCATCCTTGGATCCGACTGCCCTCCTAGGTTCCTTCTAAAGCGAGACCCTGGTGTTTAGGGCTGTATGTGGGGCTTGAGGCATTTACAGCTTATAATTATGTAGTGCTTAGGCTTTTTATGGCTTCAGGTTGCATATAAATGGTGTTATGGGTTCGTTTTTGTTCAGCAAGTTCTGGGAAGTTGATTTCTTAGTACCGGGAGTGAGGAGTCCTCCGCCCTGTCTGTCAACGTCTCTGGTCTGGAGCTGCATGCTGGACCAGTGATAGTACATACCGTTGACGCTTTCAATCCCGCATGACCTTCAAGACCCTATAAATTATATGGGAACTATGGCATATTCCTTACTATGGGTAATGCAGGATTTACGTCATCAGCCTTACTTCACCATGACACCCCACAACCTGCTTGAAGGACCCCAGGGGATGAGTACGAACTCGATTTATGCGTCTTTTGACCCTGTAAGCCCATGCCAAAACCAAAAGCCAAGAACTGAAAACTCCAAAGACAGCTTCTGACAGATCCTGAAGAGCCCAAGTATACAAATAGTACAACTAACTACTTTGAGGTCTACTACCTAGAAACTAGTACCTATAGGTTCAAACATTTCCTAAACCCGATAAATACCCTGAATTGTTTGGAGTCGCAAAGAGATCCTTCTGAACAGTCCCAAGAAGCCGGGGCGATCAGCTCGGCAACATCCGCCGGCATGGGAACAGAGGATCCCACCCTCCCAAGAAGCTCGGTCGGGCTTTGGGCTTGGGGCTTCCGGGGTTTCAGGCTCTGGAGAGTTTCAAGTTTCATAGGGTGTTTAGGGGTGTTTATGGTTCTTTTTCCGGAGATGCATTTAAGGTACCATGAGGAAGATGTGTAGCATTCCGCTCCTGAAAGGCCTGACCAAGACTGGGGTGCGAAAACTTTTCTGGGTGAAGGGCCTGGTTAGGTTCAATGCGGCATAGAACTACAGGATTTGGCACACCTTTAACAGTCTAGGACACAAGACTGATGACAAAAATGTGCTTTGCGTGGCATTGTGCTTCTGATGTTGAGGCTGCAAGGAAAGGAGTGTCGGGCACAGCTCGAGCCCCCAAGGCCCGTTCTATATAGGTAGCTACCATAATCGAACTTTTCTTGTGAAAACGAGCGACAGGACCGGTTCAGTGCTTGGGTTTCCGAGGTTTCTGGAACCGGTTCTAGAGCTGGCAGGAGCCTGCATACCCAAGGCCCCCTGAACCCTCAGCTGTAAACCATGCTTAGCCGCTTAGCCTAAGTCCTATATACCGTCATATACCCCAATAAAGTTATAAAGCCTGCCTTGACCTCCCACTCAGCTGAACTCCGGCGAGAAGGGCAAAAAGCTTCCAGCCGGTGCCTAGCACCTGGCAGCCGGTTTCTTGTTGATGTAATTGACCGCTTTTCCGGTATGCGTGGAGGGTTTAGGGCTGCAGAAGAAGATGGCTTAATACGTTTCTACTGCAAGTGTTTATGAAGGCTTTTCTGTGCCGAACTCAATTCAAAAGGGAAGGGGAAATACGGTTGTCTATGTGATTTGTGATGGTAACTCGGCGGAACAGAGGGCTGCAGGCTTCTGCGGGCTCAGACTTCAAGGCTCAGGTTCGCTCACACTGTACTAAATATATACTATAACATACTATAATATACTTTACTATATAATGTGTAGGCAAGGCCTTGCGGGGACTCCTCTTTCCACTGCACAACACAGATGCAACGAACTACGAAGCCAGGGACAGAGGCACCATTACCCGAAGCCCACACTGGTAACCTTCGAATACAAAACCCCAAGGCTCACCAAACAAGGGAGACAACCAGACCTCCGATCGATGGTCCAACTCTGTCAATAAGTGTCACAAAAGGTGGGTCAAAACATTGTGGCCCGTTAGAGAGGCAGCAGCTATTGCACGGGGATGTTACAAGCCATGAGGCCATCTCCCGCCAGGGGAAGCGGAAGGCAGCACAGGCGCGTTCCGTGGCATACCTGGGAGCTTGCGTTTCAGCTTTTCAGCACCGGAAAGAGTCGGGTCCCAAGAGATTTTTAAAGCAAGGGTCCCGTTTGGGTGTCGATGCCTAAAGCCGTAAAGTCTGCTTTCGGGTCTTAGCAAATCGGGCCGGAGCCAGTTGAAGCGTCTGACTGAGTGTAATGTCTGGCCTTTCGCGATCTGGCGGCCTTGGCCTTTGTAAGTCTAGCCCTCTTGGCCCAAGTCCAAAGCACAAACACAGAGGCCGTGCGCTCTTTCAAGAAAGCTGCTGCTGCCATATGTCTGGGGCGGTATCTGCCAGCAGGAAAACATCGACGATCAAGAGGCATGTCCTGACATCCAGTAGGTTAGCGAATGTAAGTTCGATTGGTTGGAGGACGGGCTGGAAGGCTTGACCCTTTCAATCCCAAGCAGTCGTCATGCAAACACTCTGAGTACAAACCAGGCAGTGTAAGAAGCTATGGGGGCTGGCCTCTTCCTGCCTGACTGTTGCTGGTGTTACTGGGCAACATCCACTATGACAGCAGACATGCCAAGTGCTGCAAGTTGGCATGAGTAGTATCAGAGATTTTGACGGTTCATGTCTTGAACTGCGCAACTCCTCCACACTCGTCAGATCAAGTAGATCGTGGAATCGTGGGTAGTTGAAAGTTTCCATATCTCTGAACGGCACAGCAAGGCATTTCTGCAAGTGTGCCATTACAGCAGACCCCGACGAGATGCAGACCGAGGTTGCACTCGCGGATGGATGCATATCCTGGGTTGAAACCGATGCATTCAGGAGGTGTTTCGACTCTCACACTCGCATGCAGCAGGCAAGGCTCCACATGGTTTGGTGTTTAGGGTTTAGGGTGGGAAAACCGTTGTATTCAGGAGGCGTTTCAGGCATCGGTATCCAGACCTTATATACTCGTTGCTAGCAGAAATGGCCTGCATACAGGTTTTTAGTGGCGAGCTATCCTATACTCTGGTGGTCTGTTACGTAGCAGCATCTAAGTCGAAGTCTTCTGGGTGCCGATGTAGTTCTACGGTCGTTAAACTCAAAACACAGATACACTCAAAGCCATACACACTACCCATCAAGTTCACCACCCAGCTTCTCGCACTCTCCTCCGCGACCGTGGATCCAACCCTCGCAGGGCTTGCCATGGGGTGTACGCCACAAGAAGTACAAACCGCAAGCACGGAGAATAAGTGCAGAGATGCACTTGCTGGGTGTTCTCTGCTGTACGACAATCTCTCTGCTGCTAGCGGCTCAGTACCGAAAGTATGAACTGCTCCTTGTCCCCGCACGAGTGTCCAGGAATTCAACTGCGCAAGCTGTCGAACTTGTTACAAGCTCCCCGTTCCACTTGACATCGTGGGTGTGAGAATGTGCCTCTGTCTGCTAACCCCGCTATACCCCTTTCTACAGACACACCTTGACTCAAACATCGTCTATAGGTACGCACACACACACACATGTGGGCGCACAGAAACAAACGCCAAGAGAGAGAGGGAGAGAGAAGGAGAGGCACAGCGAGAGACAATGAGAGCGACAGAGGCAGGGTGAAAGCGACAGAGACACCGAGGTGGAGGCATGGAGAGACGAAGGAAACGAAAACCAGCATCAAGCTCAGCAGGCCCCGACCCTAAACTCATCTATCAAAACCCTATATCAGAAAAAAGATGGTCTTCAACAACAGACCCGAATAAGAACCATATAAAGCTCTAAGAGAACCCCACAGCCATCCCTTGCTTGTGTCGGCTCTACAGAGGAACCTGGCAGCACGTTCCCCGGCATCATGGAGCCGGCGATGCAGACCGACGTCCACACGGCCGAAGTTAAGCAACGACAGCCTCAGAGACTCCGAAGGCTGCTGCTGAATAGCTTACTACTTCTTGGGTTTTGAGTTTAGGGTTTAGGGTTTCTGCTGAATGGCTCTAAATACCTCTTGGCTTAGACTAGAAGGTGGGGGAACTAACGCGGTGCACGCAAGCCCGGATTCGAGTTCAGATCTTCGCGACTGGGTGATTGAAGGTCTTGCTCTATGAACTCTTCAGGTCAGATATATTCAGAAAGCAGCAGAACAACGGTCAACCTCAAGGACTCAACCTAGTGGATCTGAACCCTGAACAGCATAGCCGTGAGGTCCTAACCCGCCCCTTACACCCTAAGCCCGAAAAATCCTAAAACCCCAATGGGCTCCACGAGCAAAAAGACGACAAGCAGAGGCCAGGAGGCGCGAGCGTCGAGAGATCCTTGCGGAGCTGTGGCCAGGGCAGCTGCGGGGTTGGGCGGCAGCGCCTCGGCTGGGGTGTACAAATAAGGATAAAGTGACTTGAAAATATAAGTATAAGCCTGAATCAGCCTGAAGCCTGACAACTCTTCCTTAGAGGTCCTCAGGTTGTGTGTCTACGGCTCTATGGCTCAATGCTTAATAAACGGATTTTGATTGAACCCTTCATATCATTTCTGCTTCCAGAGATCCCAGCACCCCTTGTATGAGGAATGCATCCCTCTGGGACAGCAAGATCCCTATGCAATCTGAGCTGCGTATCGAACTAAGACAGATCGGACTGAGGGCTCAGAGGCTGTAGACAATTACTGTTTCGTCCGGGGCTTGCAGGGCGTAGTTAGGGGGTCATAATGGGTTGAGGGTTTAGGGCTGGGGTTCTGGATGGTCCCGTATGTAGCCCAACAATGAGTAAGATGATTTCGGAAGGCATCACCTCCATCCGTGAACACTATACATGCAATCTACAGCGCATTTCACCGCAACCTCATCTGGACTTTTTTTCTATAGGCAACACCTTTTGCCAAGGCTACCGTCGGGCCCTGGGTTCTATGAGGAGAAGCTGTCAACAGCCGTGACCCAAACGAGGCCAGGCAGCTGCTGCGTCGCCCAGGTCCGCTGCAGAGCGTCGTGGGGCCCTGGGCCTCGGATGTGATTCTTCTAGGGAGGGGGGGAGGGTGGGGTGCTGCGGGGTGCCCGTGTCGAGGTGATGCTATCGGGTGTAGCTCTACTCGGCATCGTGAACTCCGAAGTTCCGAAGTCACAAACTCCAAGCGGCCATGGTGAGAGCAATTTAAATTCAGCTAGTTTGAGACTGAAGCACAGAGGAAGACAACGGGACCTGCAAACATATAAACCAGGCTGCATACATTCACATGCTAATGGAGTTGTGTCGTTTCGTAAAGGACAAATGTGGTCAGATGTGGTGCTGGCTGAGGCATACAGGCATGCACGGTTCAACCCGCAAACAACTGCACGCATAAATCATGCGCAGGCTAGACGCACACACGCACACCACCAAAAGACGGAGGCCGCGAGGGGATGTCTGGACTCTCTACAACGCCGTGATGCTTGCTGGCGCCGGCTGCAGAGCTGCTTCCAGCATGGCTCTTGAAGCACACACGGTGAAGGATAATTAACTCGTGGCTCTGAGGCGAGGGAGCTTTGGGCTTTGGGGGTGGAGGGTACAGGGCGGCAGAGGGCCCCATTGTGCTCAGGGCCAACTTCCCTCGGCCGAGGCCTATACTGGCTAGAAATCTGGAAATACAGGCTTTATGGCGATGGTCCGGGCTTGATACCTCCAGGCTTTGCTTGAAGGCCTGAACCGGATTGAAAACCTGCCGGCATGTCCTTTCGAGTGTGGCTGCTGGAATAGTTGAGGGCTTTGGATTTATAATCTCTTGCGATGAACCTTCTAGGTCGGCTCTTCATAGGTCATAAGTTTGATGCCGGTGCATGTTTGGAGTCCCATGCATGTGCCAAAGGGACAGTTTGGGCCTCAAAAGCGGAAAACAAAATGTGCCAGTCAACAGTGGCCCATGCAACAACCAAGCTTATCAGGCCTTGCTGTCGAGGCAGGAATGCAAATACCGAGTCTGCGCAACTTCCAAACTATGGTGCCTTTGTGGGTTCTAGCCGCAAACAAATAGGACAACCATCTAAAACACCCAGGACGGTCCATGACGTGGTACAACCTGTGCCTTAATGCCGGCAATTTTTGAAGGATCACGAAACCTTACAAGTTCACTGCAAATTGTTTCGGAGTAGATTCCTCAACGGGGATAAGTACGGATATGTATACAATAAAGGCCGAAATGTCTACGATGTTCGTACTTAGACTTAGGCTTGGGCACTAGCGGCTAGCGAATTGCTTTAGCGTATCACTTTCAGTTTCAGGTCCTGCTTCTTTAGGTCTATAGCCCTCCCGTACTCCAAGAAACCTGACCTAACGATGCTTAGTCGGATGCTCATGACCTCCGATGCCATCAGACAGGCTCGTACCTGACATCACACTTCTACTCTATAGTCTATCTTTCTTAGGGTGAAGATGCCTAGGGCGACTTCGAACTTAGAGGAGCCTCCAATTTCGCGATCCTCAGCCTAACCCTGAGCCCTCAGCCCTTAAGCCTTAAACCTCCTACTGCCGCACGAAATCCAAAAAACCTAAACCCTAAACGCTAGGACCCCAGCCCCTAAACCCAAAAAAATCATAGGGGCAGGGCGAGCTAAAACTTAAAACCAGGAATCCTAAACCCTCGGCTCAACAACCTCGGCTTAAGTGCACCGCGAGATCGCCCACAACGAAGCTGCCATCCGGAAGCCGAACGGACAACCTTCCAACGGTTTGGGTTTAGGGTTTATATAGAGTTTGAACAGGGTCTAGGGTTTGGAGCTCCTTTCGAACTTTACGGTTCAGGGAATGTGTGTGTGTGTGTGTGGCTTCTGGGGTAGTTTAAAGTGTTGGGGCTCTCAGCCGGGGGTCTATGATCAGGGTCCAGGGCTTCTGGTGTCTTTGGGAAATCAGACTCTGACCCAAACACAGACGCCGGATCCTCCCGAAGCCCAAATAAATGCCTAAACATCATCTACGTCGAATCTACGTTCAGGTTCCGAAGATTTTCGTCTCGAAGAAGTATATAGAAAAACGAGGAGCCCTGTCAATCGCACCCCGAAGCCCCAAGGAAGCAACACCGAAACCCCCAAAGCTGCAAAGCTCAGGAAGCCGTGGCCTCATGGCTGGTGAGATGGCGACCTGGCAAGGTAATATGTAGAGGCTGTAGAGGCCTTAATGGTTAGAAGTTAGAATAGAGTTTGGGGTATATTATACTATAAATATAATAGCGGCCTTCAAAAATTAGAATAGGGTTTGGGGGGGTATATTGTACTATAACGAACCCCCAAGACCCTATTCTAATTATTAAGGCCCCTACATTAGAGCGGCAAGCAATTCTTTGGGGTTATAGTCACACGGCTTTGGGAATAAACGGATTTAGGGGTTTGAGTCTTGGCGGTTTCGTGGTCTCTGGGATCCGGACCTATGCAGTCAGCGGTGTGTGGCTTCGATTTTGGATGTTTGCCAGGTTGCCCCTTCCAATTCCTACCCTGGAAGATGTGAAGACCGTCTTTTTCCGATCAAAGGCGAAACGTCCGCCACGCGTCGTGCGCCGCACGGTGAACTGCCGCATGGCCTGAGGTTGGAAGCTGTAGCGGACGGATCTGTGCAAAGAGTTGAACGCTTTGACAAAGGCCGTAGATACGCAATCACTTATTTTGATACCATGCTGGTCTGATGTATCTTGAAGAAAGCAGGGGAAGTAAGAATATTTGCAATAGAGCAAACTACTCCTTATGATGGCATAAAACATGACCATGCCTGAAGCTTTCCCCCAGCCATATTTTGGTCTAGGGGTTCTGGTTGAGGTGTGACTTGATGTTGCTTTGTGTAGCACTGACTGGGGGAGTACGGACCAGAAGTACACTGCCGGATTCAACGATGCTGTGATTGCACCTGACTTCGAAGGTCGCGTCCGGGATGGGGTGGACATCGGAACTGTCATATTGTTTTCGGCTTTAGCCGTGTTGTCAAGAGTTTTAAGGAGCTATAGTAGTGTGTTGCTGGCTTGGGCATGTGATTTCGACAGTCTTTTCTACAGGTGGATCCTGCCTGCAGTTCGGATTCCGATCCGACTGAAGGTCAGCGACAAAATAAGAACAGCATGCTTCGGCTTCGACCGCTATGCGGAAGAGATCCAAACAGGAGCCCCGACGCTACAAGCCAACAATGAACGAAGATTGGAACATCTGGGTTTTGGCCTTCGGGGCCTTTGGGGGATGCGGCTTCGATGCGATTATTGCCGTCCAAGAGCGATGGGCCAAGTGTCGAGGATCTCGGTCGTAGCCACCCCCGATGACCTGCAATTCGCCCAAGCCCCGAGACTATCCTAAATTCTACCTCCAGAGCCTGAGCAAGCCAAAACCTAGCCCGAAACATCCCGAAACTTAGTTTAGGCTTAGAACTAGGTTTAGGATTTGGGTCTTGGGTAATCCCGCGTCACGAATCATTGTTTCCATATTTCAGCCGTTGAACCTTTATGCAGCCATCACTTTGAGGCAATATAGGATAAAGTGAACCCATACTGGGATGAGCCCGAGCTGCGCAGGCGATCGGAATGCGCTTGGACAGGCAGGCGTTGATCACCAGGTCCTGAAATCAATGCCAAACGCTGATTCTTTGGGCATCACTGTCAGGTTGAAGTTTGGATGGGACTCGAAACCCGCTGCGGAAAAGCACTCCTACGATATGGTGTTGAAAGCTTCAAACCGTCAAAGGGACTCCACCAAAGTTTCGTCTAAAACTTGCGCTTAAGATGGTGGGATGCTCCAACATCTTTCGAAGGTGCTTGCCCCAAGTGTTCCCAACCACAACTCGCGCACCCCTTCGTCCCTAGAGAGCCTCTGGGCTCGGATGACCCGGAACAATACCTATAGGACCTAGTATCCATTGCAGTTCCCTTTTTCGGTTTAACCAATTTTATATTAAGGATCCTAAAATGGTAACCCCAA